TTAACTACTGGATTCCATCAAGCTACATTGTACAGATGCTGTAGTTTAATCATTTGACCCAGTTATACATTCTCTTCAATCGAACCATTGAAGCTGGTTATGCATTTTTTCCGGTTAAACCATGAAGGCCAGTGTCATTTAACGACCTTAACCAATTAAGATTGTTTGTTAAATTGAGCGGCTCGACTCTTTTACCTAGTTTGACTATTTAACCGGATCAACCAATTAAACTTGATTGAAAAGTTTGTCCAGTTGAACCTTTTACGTTGGTTATGGATTTTGTCCCCTAGAACAATTTTAGGTAGTTTAACCATTTAGACAAGTTATAACCAGTGGAAAGAGATTTTGCAATTCTTGCAGGTTTCCTGTTTTCGATAGTTTGACTAACTGGTTACATTGTCAAACCAGCGAGGATAGTTAAATACACAGGTAGTTCAGATGATCAATCTAGCTTAGAAAGCTCAACCGGACAAAATGCAACTAGGTTAAGTAGTTCAAACGGTAAAATAGTCAAACTATCGAAAACAGTATAACTCCACAATTTACACAACCTATGTCAACAGGTTAGACTAGTTCAAATGGTCAATCAAGCTTAAACTTTTCAAGTGGACAAAATGCATCTAACCAACAACACATATGTCAACGCATAGCTTAAATGGTTCAACGGGTTAAATGTAAATCGAGCGAATAATAGTTGAACTACACAAATTGCACAATCCATCTTAATTGGTTCATGTTGTCAAACTAACTTTGAGGCTTTAACTGGACAAAATGCATAGTTAGCTCAATAGGATCAACTGCACAGTTTAGCTTAACTGGTCCAAGTAGTTTACATGGTCAAGGTGGCTTATTTGCTTCAATTGAAAACAATGATAACTAGCCTAATCAGTTCAAATTCACAACCTGGACAATCTAGCTGAAATGATTAACCTGGTTTAACAGTCAAACTGAGGTTACCTGAGGAAAATTGCACAATCTTTCTCAACTGGTTAAAGTACATTAAACGATTCGATCAGGCAAGACGAATTACGGTCAAGTCGCCCACGGTTCAACTCCCCAATGCCAACTCCAATGCATAAAATCGAGTAGAAACGTCGGCGAGTTGGTCTTCAATCCAGTACAGCTTATTCGAAATTAAACACATAGAAAAGTAAAAGATCTTTAGTACAAAAACATAGTTTTTCCTCCAACAAAGTTTATAAGGATCTCATTGCGAATAAAGCAAGGTAAACATTGCCAATGACGATAAAAGCCTCAGACGTGAACAAGTTATCTTGTGACAACAAAACTTAAAGACTCATCACGTCAATCGGTCGGATTTTCTTTTAGATTTTAGAAAACGTGGCTTTCTAAACAATATCTTTAGTGAAAAAAAAGTCTTTTCATTTCCAACAAAGGTTGTAAGGATGTCAAGGCGAATAAAGCAAGGTGAATATTACCAATGACCAAAAGAGACGCGAACGAGTTCTCGTGCTACAACCATAGCAACCACACAGAGCCGCACGTTTTTTTAACTTAAAGAATGATTTATTCATGATCGAGAACGTTTGATTTATGATAAAATTTGATATATTATAAAGATCAAATGAACATGTGAAAGCTTTGTATATCGTGAAATTATTCTGCTCTTGAAGGTCCGTTTAATCTCGACATCGATTTCAATAATTGAGCCGCTGTTTTTTCACTAGTTTCCGCAAGTACTAAAACATGCACCATTCTCATATTTCTCCCAAAATCCAAACGCCTTACTCAGCAATTGCCTATTAGCCCTTCTTTGGATTCTGGTCAGCTTGTGGTTAGATCCTAATGGTATTTGTATCGCAAAAGCACTTAGAAAATGTTTGCCGTTCATCGGCATAGCCCGGTATTAAGACGAACCAAACTTAAACACCCTCAAAAGTGAGCTATCGAAGTGTGAATCTGGAATGACGCTGATTGTCGCACAATAACTTGTTCGCGTCTAAAGCTTTTTTGGTCATTGGTGATGCTCACCTTGCCTTATTCGCCTTGACATTCTTATGAACTTGGTTTGAAAAAAAAAAAATTGTTTTTACTGAAGATCTTGTCTAGAAAGCCAAGTTTTTCTTTTTTTAAAAAAATCTGACCGATTGAAATATTGTCTTTACTGTGTTGTTGTCACACAATAACTCGTTCGTGACTGAAGCTTCTATAGTCATTGGCGATAAAAAAATCTGACCGATTGAAATATTGTCTTTACTGTGTTGTTGTCACACAATAACTCGTTCGTGACTGAAGCTTCTATGGTAATTGGCGATAAAAAGACTTGTTTTTTACTAAATATCTTGTCTTTATCCTCATAAACTTTGTTGGAAGAAAAAAATTTGTTTTCTTACTAAAGATCCTTTTACTTTTCTATATGTTTCACTTCTAATAAGTTGTACTGGATTGAAGACCAACTCGCCGACGTTTTTACTTGATTTTACACGTCGGTGAGTTGGCGTTGGCGAGTTGAACTGTTAGCGACTTGACTGGATACCACCAAGACAGTCAAACTGCACAGATTGCAAAATATTTTTTAATTGGTAGAGGTAATTCAAATGGTCAAACTGGCTTAAATAGTTCTATTGAACAAGATGTATAACTAGCTTAAATGCTACTTATACAAACTGCACTATCTAGCTTAATGGGTTTAACTAGTTACGAGAAACAAAGTAGCGGAAACAGTGAAAGTGCACAAATTGTACCATCTATCTGAAATGGTTGATATTGTTCAAATGCTCAAACTGGGTTAATTGGTTCAACTGGACAAAATTAATGATTAGCTCGGTAGGATCAACTGCACAAAGAAGCTAAATTGTTTAAACTCGTTAAATAATTAATTAATTAATTAAATACATTTACATAGCGCCATCTTCCATTAATTGTCCATAGCACTCTACAGTCAAATAGAGAGAGAGAGAGAGATACTTTATTAACCACCATTGCAGCCATAGGCTGGATTACGGGATATTTACAAATACTGATGATAACAAAAGAGAGAATAAGAAAAATTTTATACATCTTATAGACATGGCTAAAAATAAAACTGTTCTTCAAACGCTCGGTTTTACATAGGGGGAGAGTGAAATCACTTTTGCGTCTCAGTGCATATTTACAACTCTTCCTTTGGGGGAGGAGGCTATGGAGATTGTGGGTGGGGTTACAGACGATCTCGTCGAACAGATCGATTGAAATCTTTTCTCTCCTCTCATGAAGTTTCGGTAGGCCAACTGTTTCTAGTGCTACACTATATGAAAGGTCAGGATAGATGATTCTGAATGCCCTTCTTTGTATCCGTTCCAAATCTTCACTGATGTAGTTTGGTAGAGAACGATGGAATACAGGACTTGCGTATTCCAGGACGGGCCTAATACATGTCATATAGAATTGCACCAGTTCACTCGGTGACACTCCAGATCTCTTGAGTTGACGTAAAAAGTAGAGACGAGAGGAACATTTTCTAATTAGTTCAGAGGTGTGCATGTTCCACTTTAAATCATGGCTAATGGTCACGCCTAGCAATTTGGCACTGGTGACTAATTCAGGGGTTTGCCATTTAGAACTAGGGGTTCGAAATCGTGGTTGCTGTTGGAAAAACCAATTCGAAGTTCTTTGCACTTGGCCTCATTCAGTTGGAACCCATCGAGACTCGCTTGTCTCGAAAGGTCATCCACAGCATCTTGGGGTTTGCTCTTATTACCCTTTGTAACTATTTCGGAACAAGATGTATCATCCACGTATTTCCACATGTCAACTGGTGTGTCCAAGTCATTAATCATGACAAGAAATAACCAGGGGCCCAGTTTTGTTCCCTGGGGGACACCGGATGGCACAGAGCGCCATTCAGAGTGACAATCCTGAGCAAGTTTAACTCGTTGTTTCCGGTCCATCAAGAAGTCAATAATCCAACCTTTGACTTGACTCGGAATATCATATGTTGTTAGTTTTTGAACAAGAACACTGTGATCGATAAGGTCAAAGGCCTTACAGAAATCGAGTAGGACTACTCTTGCCGTGGCACCATTTCTGTCGGTGTTAACAAGCCAATTATGTGTCATATTGACCAAGGCATGTGTAGTAGACGGTTTAGGAATAGTTCCAAATTGTCGAGGGTCGATTCTTTGTAACACAGCAGGTTTAACGTATTTTTCTCAACAATGTGATCTTCAGCGAGCTTAGACAGGATAGGCGTGAGGGAAATCGGACGGAGGTGCTTGTTAATGTCATTAATAGGCCTTTGTTTTGGCACCGGGACAACGTCAGCCTCTTTCCAAGAAGGCAGAAGGCGGGATTCGTGGAACGAGGAGTTGAGGATCGCAGAGACTGGACCCGCCAAGAAATCAGCGTTTTTCTTTAATAACCATGCCGGGATACCGTCTGGCCCATGTGCTTTCGAGGGGTTGAGCGCAGATAGTTTCATAAAAGTTGAAAACTCCGATATCATATCTACGGCATGACCTTTGTTGTTGGCTTGTGGTGGGTCAAAAGGATTGTGAGTAAGAGGCTCAAAAATCTGCATTGGGGTCAGGAACGCCGAATTGATGTAATTTGCCAGAACACCTGGTGAGAAACCTAGGTGTTGCAGTAATTTGCTGGTGTTGGCCCGCGTTTCTGAGGCAGGTGACATGCCGCTGAGCTTTTTCACCTCTTTCCACCACACGGATGGCTTACACTCCCTCAAATGGCTAGTCTTTGCTTCGTAGTACTTTGCCCGGCAGATCTTACGCTCACGATTCACGCAATTTCTGAGCATTCGAAAGGTATCCATATTTCCTTTTGCAAGGGCACATTGGCGTCGTTTGATCAGGTTCTTGAGTTTGCCATTCAACCACGGAGGCTCGCTTCGATGAATAGATTTGGATCGCGGGGGAGAAATAAAGTCTAGGCCCGTCTTAACGATATTTTCAAATAGTGATACTTTCTCCGCGCAGGTCTCCACGGTGTCAAGGAGGCGTGGTATGTCAACAATTTCGAGGTAAATTTGTATTGCGTGTCTTTTACTAGGTCTCAAATCCCTCGAGATAATTGTTTCCTTTGATTGCGATGGTTTTGCTCGAAGCTTGGGCTGGATCTGAACTGTGATCCGAAAGGCCAACTTTAGGTCGCTCGATGGCCTTATCATAGAACTCCTTCATGTTGGTTAGAATACGATCCAAAAATCTTTTCCCTCTGGTCGGAAAGTGAACAATTTGTTTCAGATTGAAATTAGATTTAAGAGTCGTTTCGTTTAGGTGGTTTAAATCGCCGACAAGAAGGATTCCACTGATTGGATGTTGAGACTCAATTGATGTAAGGCAATTTAATAAATAATCTTGCATTTTGGAGTCAGGAGCTGACGGTGGATGGTTTATAACTCCAGATATAATACTAGAAAAGCCTCTAGGGAGTCGAGTTGGTCGCAGCTTTGCCCACAGGACTTCAAAATCAAAGACCGGATTCTCGTCGACCTCGGAAAAATCGAGAACAGAAAAAGGGATGGATTCCTTAATGTACATACACACTCCGCCGTGAGTGGCCTCCTTTCTGTCCCGTCTGATGATATTATAACCATTAATTGTTATTACGGAGTCCGGGATATGTTGTCGCAGCCAAGACTCCGTAATGCAAACAAGGTCGTAATTAGCACTTTGAACAACGTGGCTTACTTCATCAATTTTTGGTGCGAGCGACATCACGTTTGATAGAAACAGCATGAATTCTCAGCTAAATTGTTTAGCAGAGGTCTTGTGTAAGGCTGAGCCATTTGACAGAGTTTTAAACTACTAAAAAGATGAAAATATAGGGAGCGCTTCAAAGTGCAGCCATACGTGGCGCATACACGTGGAAAAAAAAAAGCAAATAGTAAAAGTAACTAAGACAGGTAAACAGCACAGATTGCACACTCCTTCATTGTTGATTTAATTTGTTCAAATGGCCATACTAGCTTCAATGGTTCAACTGGACAAAATGCATAACTAGCTTAAAGGGTTCAACTCGGTAAATAGACGGGCGGCAAAATCTACCCCAGTTGGTTTAAGAAGTCAAAATAGTCCAACTAGTTTAATTGGTTGTACATTTTAAATGGTCAATCTCACTTAAATGACAAAATTCCTAACTTGCTGAAATAGTTCAACCGGGTAAAAGGCGTGGATAACTAGATCAGCTCAACTGCACAAATTTCACAAGCTGGCTCAAATCCTTCAAGTGCTTAAATTTTCAAAGAAGCAGACACAAATAAACTGCACAAATTGCAAAACCTATTTTAATTGGTTGAAGTAGTTCACATGGTCAAAGTAGCCTAAATAGTCATATGATACCCATTGATAAAATAGCACATCTTATCCCCTATCAGGATATGTCTACCGCAAGAGAGATTAATAAAACTAGCAGCTTTTATGATCAAACCGACAAAGAAACAAAGTGGTGGGTTCCTTTGTACATTGCATGCAAGTATTGGCGTGCCATTGTAATTAAAAGCATTAACTGGTAATGGTATTCAAGGTTATGGCAGATATTGTAAATGCCAGTTTCTGACATTGGTTATCCTTTGTCATCGAACCGTCCGAGCATCTTAGGTAATGTGATTTTACCGAGGTTCATTCCACTTTAGGCCAAACCTCGGCGCCGAGCCTTTCTTTTCTCTTCATTCATACTTCGCTTGTATATGGTTAAGGAACCAGTTACTGGAGTGCAATTTGTCGAGGAACTTACGAGGAAGCTAAGGGATTGAAAGTTGTGTAAACTCGTGGATTAACAGTTCCCTTAAAAAAGGTTTTTGCGTTGTAAACCACCAGACGGTGTCGAGCATTTCGCTGATCTAGAGGAATAAAGAATGGAATTTATGGCTGATACAGTTTGACCTAGAGTGAATCACACATGGAAGGACACAGAGGAGGCAAGGAGCAAGATTTCCAAAGGAAAATGAACGTTTTTAACGAAGAAAAGAATGCCATTTGGCGCGAAATGAATGTGGAAAACAAATCATCTCACCGTTGGTCAACACGTGCAATATCTCCGCTGACCAGTATCGTAGTTGCTGAAGAAACTCACGTGGACGCGCAGAAAAATGGAAAAGGGTAGGCAGTTTAAGATTCAAAGGTTAAAGGAAAGTTCGGAAACTGCACTCGCCAGCTCAAAAATTAAACATAATCTCACCATTTTGAGGACGAAAAACAAGTGCCTACTTTCCGTGAAATCTTGCCTGGAGAAGCCTAATTTAGCTACAAACAAACAAGAACACGTTTTAGGTGCGAAAAAGCTGAGAAAAGCGTAATTTGGCCACAAAAATAACCGAAACGTTGTACTAAGTGAAATAAAGCTAAAATCAGCTTGATTAGCTACAAGCTGGCAAAAACCTTTTCAATGTGATAGAACTAAAGAGAGCGTAATTCAGTGGCAAAATAAGTCAATTCAGCTAGTTTGTCCAGTTTTTCTTCAGTTTCACTGTTTCGCTTGTTTGGTCGCTTAAACCTTTTGATCCAATTTAGCTTTTTGTTGAATTTTGTCAATAAGAGCCAATTAAACCAACTCACCTACTCTCTGAATTTTGTGCCGTTTGGCTGTTTCCGCCATTTGCAATTTTTTTAGTTTAACTATCTCCTTGCTGGTTTGACCATTTAGCCACTTAAGCTGTTTAAGCTCGTTATGCTTTTTATCCCATGACCCTTGTCCTAAGCTATTTTTGACCATCTTAGCTACTTCACAGTTGAACCATGGAAGCTAGATTGTGCGGTTTGTGCAGTTTGTGCAGTTTGTGCAGTTTAACCAATTAAGATAGTTGTGCTTTTTGTCTAGTTGAGCCTTATCAGCTAGTTTGACCATTTGAACTACTTCAACCCATTAACAAAGATTTTGCACTCTGTGCAGTTTAACCGTCTTTGGTGGTTTGACTATTCCACCTGTCGAATCAATTAAAATAGTCTGACCGTTTCAACTACTTCAAGCAATTCAGATAGACTCTGCAGTTTTCGCCGTTTATTCCTTGAATTTAATTTGTCCATTTAAAGTAGTTTAACCAGTTGAGATAGATTGTGCAATTTTTCGTCGTTGACCTTAGTTTGACTGTTAAACCAGTTGAATTATTTGAGCTAAATTTTTCACATTTTGCAGTTAAATGGATTACGCTGGTTGTGCACTTTGTTCAGTTGAAGCTTTCGAGCTAGTTAAACAATGTGAACTGCCTCCACCAATAAAGTCAGATTGTGCAGTTTGTGCAGTTGCTCCTATCAAGCTAGTTATGCATTTTTTCCAGTTAAAGAATTTATGATAGCTTGACCATATGAGGAACTTCCACTAATAATATAGACTGCGCAATTTTTAGTTTAGCTGTTATCGCTCCATTGACAGTTAGCCGTTTGAACCATTTAAGCTACCTATGCGTTTTGTCCAGTTTACCTATTTCGGCTAGTTCTGAATTTTGTCTACTCGAACAATTTAAGCTTGATTGACTATTTGAACTAGTCTAACTAGTTGACATAGATTCTGTAGACTGTGCAGTTACACTGTTTGCGATAGTTTAATTGACTATTTTACCGTTTGAACTATCTAACCTTTTGTCCGGATGAACCTTTTAGGCTAGTTTGATCATTTCAACTACTGCAACCAACGGAGATAGGATTGTAAAGTATGTGTCCTTAGCTATCTTAGGTGGTTTGACAATTTCACTAGATAGTAAAGCTATCAAAACGAGATAAAGTGCACAAATTTCACCATCTATCTTAATTGGTTGAACTAGTTCAAATGGTCAAACTAGCTTATTGTTGAAGGGGACAAAACGCATAACTATGCACTTTGTCTACTTGAACAATTTAAGCTTGATTGACCATCGGCCTAGTCAAACCTGTTGACATAGGTTGTGTAAATTGTCCACCGGTTAAAATTGTTCACATGATTAAACTAACTTAAACTGTTCAAAAGGACAAAATACATAAGCAACTTAACAGGTTCAAATGGACAAGCTTTTCAATCAAGCTTAATTGGTTGACCTGGTGAAACAATCAAACAAGCAAAACCAGTGAAACTGCAGAAATCGCACAATCCATATTGGATAGTTGAAGTAGTTCATATGGTCAAACTGGCTGAAAATATTTAACTTGACACTAAATACATAAATAGTTTAAGTGGTTTAACTGCAGAACCTACCTTAATTGGTTCAACTAGTTAAAATGGTCAAACTAGGTTAATTGGTTTAAATAGTCAAACTAGTTTGAGTGTTTTAACTGCTTCAAGAAATTCAGCTAGATTCTGCAGTTTGTGCCGTTTGTTTCTTAAAGTTAACTTGACCATTTAAAGTACCTCAACCAACGTAGATACATTGTGTAATTTTTCCCAGTTAACCTTGGTTTGACTGTTAGACCAGTTGAATTATTTGAGCTTAATTGTTCAAATTGTGCAGTTGAAAGTATTATGCTAGTTTGACCATTTATAAAGTAAAACCAATCAAACTAGTTTGACCATTTTAACAATTTCAACCAATTAAGTTAGATTGTGCAGTTTGTGCAGTTGAACTAATTAAGATAGTTGTGCATTTTGCCCAGTTGAACTTATTAAGCAAGTTTCACCGAGTGTTGAACTTCTGCAACCAATTTAGATTGAACAATTTGTGCCATTTGTAGAGTAAAACCAATTAAACTAGTCTGACCATTTTAACAATTTCAACCAATTAAGCTAGATTGTGCAGTTTGTACAGTTGACCTAATTAAGGTAGTTGTGCATTTTTCCCAGTTGAACTAATTAAGCAAGTTCGACCGAGTGTTGAACTTCTGCAACCAATTAAGATTGGACAATTTGTACATATAACTCTCTTTGCCAGTTGGACTCTTTAACTGGTTGAACTAATTAAGCTACCTTGATCATTTAACTTCTTAGACAAATTGGGCTCTATTTTGCCGTTTGTGCACCTCAACAATTGAAGGTAGCTCGACCATTGTACTACCTTAAGCAGTTTAGCTGCCTTCCCTAGTTTGACTAGTTAACCAGCTCAACTATTTAAGCTAGTTATGCATTTTTTCCAGTTGAACCACTGAACCTAGTATGGCCATTGTAACAACCTTACTTAATCAGACTAGCTGTCTTAGCTACTTAGGCAATTTAACGTGTTTAATTAATTAAGCTTAATTGTACAGTTGGTGCAGTTGATGGTATGAACCTGACTATGCATTTTTCTAGTTGAATTAATTAACCTACTTGGAGCATTTGAACTACTTCGACCATTTGAGATAGATAGTGCAATGCATCTTAATTGGTTAGAAAAGTTTAATGGTCGATCTAACTTAAATAGGTCAACAAGACAAAATTCAGAACTAGCAAATATGGTTAAACTAGACAAGACCGATAAGTAGCTCAAATGGTTTAACCAGCTAAATGTCAATCGAGCAATAACAGTTAAAGTGCACAAATTGCACAATCTATCTTAATTGGTCGAAGTAGTTCACATAGTCAAACTAGCTTCAATGGTTCAACTAAACAAATGCATAAGTATGATATGCACTTTGTTCGGTTCAACCGTTTCAGTTAGCATTATCTTGTCATATAGGGTAGTTCAACCACTTTAAACTACTTCAACCCAGAGAGATGCATTGTACTATTTTTGAAGTTAAACTTTTCTCGCTAGTTCGACTACTTAATCATATGAACCAATTAATCTAGTTTGATTATCTTAACTAGTGGAATCAATTTAACCTGGACAAAAGTG